ACGCCCTCATTCTTGCCTCTCTGGACGCCCTCATTCTTGCCTCTCTGGACGCCCTCATTCTTGCCTCTCTGGACGCCCTCATTCTTGCCTCTCTGGACGCCCTCATTCTTGCCTCTCTGGACGCCCTCATTCTTGGCTCTCTGGACGCCCTCATTCTTGGCTCTCGGGACGCCCTCATTCTTGGCTCTCTGGACGCCCTCATTCTTGGCTCTCTGGACGCCCTCATTCTTGGCTCTCTGGACGCCCTCATTCTTGGCTCTCTGGACGCCCTCATTCTTGCCTCTCTGGCGACCCCACAACCAAGCTCATACCTTCACACCTGTCTGGACTTCATCACACTCTCCTTCGCCGACCTAATCCCCCAGCCAATCCCCCTCCTCCCAATCCCATAGCCTCCTCCCCCCCCTGCTCATGGACAGCTCCACACCTTATATTCTCATCCCCAGAGACGTGCCACAGTTACGCCTGATCCAAATATCGTCAATTACTCCGGGGACAATATATGGCCGCTTCCGGTGTCAGTGAAAGTGACTCGAAATAGTAATGAAAACGTCGGATAGCGAGTGGTCTAGTGTGTGTTAGCGAGTAGTCTAGAGTGCGCGCGCTAACATGTGGTCTAAACTCTAGAGAGAGTGCTCGCACTAGAGTGAGAGTGCGGGCAAGAGAGTGAGAATTGAGGAAGGGTCTAGAGTTAACGAGAGTTGTCTGTCATTCTTTACGAAACAACAGTTTAGTCAGTCACATGTTAGGCCGTGGGGCTGATGCCCGGATTTAGAAGCCTGAGTCACCGGGGTCAAGCTGAACTGAATCTTTAAACTCTGGAGGGAGAAGAGCCAGGTGAGACATGATTCTGATGTGCAAGATACCAAGTGGAATGGAAAAGAAAATGGTTAAAAGTGGAGCCCAATGATGTCACAGAATATATCAGAGAAAGCAGAAAGTAGTAAGTAGATGGAGGACAAAACCGTCAGTAGTTTCAAAGAATTATTTGATAGTATTGGGAAGACGGGACACTACGAACATAGCTTTCGCATCCTGTAACTAGGGGGGGCCAGATACAAGGTATCATCTGGGAGAGGAAATTCTTCAGGAGTCAGAGAAGGAAAAAGACTTGGGGGTTGATATCACGCCAGACCTGTCTCCTGCAGCACATATCAAGCGGATAACATCAGCGGCATATGCCAGGCTGGCCAACATACGAACGGCATTCAGAAACTTGTGTAAAGAATCATTCAGAACTTTGTATACCACATATGTCAGGCCAATCCTGGAGTATGCAGCCCCAGCATGGAGTCCATATCTAGTCTAGGATAAGACTAAACTGGAAAAGGTTCAAAGGTTTGCCACCAGACTAGTACCCGAGCTGAGAGGTATGAGCAACGAGGAGAGACTACGGGAATTAAACCTCACTTCGCTGGAAGACAGAAGAGTTAGGGGGGACATGATCACCACATTCAAGATTCTGAAGGGAATTAATAGGGTAGATAAAGACAGTCTATTTAACACAAGGGGAACACGCACAAGGGGACACAGGTGGAAACTGAGTGCCCAAATGAGCCACAGAGATATTAGAAAGAACTTTTTTAGTGTCAGAGTGGTTGACAAATGGAATGCATTAGGGGGTGATGTGGTGGCGGCTGGCTCCATACACAGTTTCAAGTGTAGATATGATAGAGCCCGATAGGCTCATGAATCTGTACACCTGTTGATTGACGGGTGAGAGGCGGGACCAAAGAGCCAGAGCTCAACCCCCGCAAACACAACTAGGCGAGTACACACACACAGAGGGGGAAAAGGGAGGGAGGGAGGGAGGGAGAGAGAGGGAGGGGGGGAGAGGGAGGGGGAGGGGGGAGGGGGGAGAACAGAAAGGCTGCATGAGAAGCACCTCACGACACTGGAAGACCGAAGAGTAAGGGGGAGACATGATCACTACCTACAAAATTCTCAGGGGCATTGACAGGGTAGACAAGGATGGATCATTTAACACGGATAGTACGCGAACAAAGGGACACAGGTGGAAACTGAGTGCCCAAATGAGCCACAGAGATATTAGAAAGAACTTTTTTAGTGTCAGAGTGGTTGACAAATGGAATGCATTAGGGGGTGATGTGGTGGCGGCTGGCTCCATACACAGTTTCAAGTGTAGATATGATAGAGCCCAATAGGCTCAGGAATTTGTACACCTGTTGATTGACGGTTGAGAGGCGAGACCAAAGAGCCAGAGCTGAACCCCCCGCAAGCACAAGTATGTGAGTACAACTAGGTGAGTACATACAAAGGGGGCCTGGTGGCTGAGTGGACAGCGCTCGGTATTCGTAATCCTAGAGCTCGGGGATCGATCCCCGGCGATGGCGGAAACAAATGAACAGTTTCTTTCACCCAGATGCCCCTATTCACCTAGCAATAGTACCTGGGAGTTGGACAGGTGCTACGGGCTGCTTCTTGGATGTGTGTTTGGGGGGGGGGGGAGACGGAAGATTGATTGACAGTTGAGAGGCGGGCCGAAAGAGCCAGAGCTCGACCTCCGCAAGCACAACTAGGTGAATATATACACACACTAACTACACAAGCTTAAAAAACTCGCACTTTATTTTACCAAAAGGTCATCATTCAGCCCCGGGAAACAATTGTTGAAAGTAATCCCTCTTTCATATGGATACGTTAATCTCTGGATTTATTCTCACTCATCCATGTACATTATCCAGCCACAGCCCCGACATGAATGGCTTAGTGTGTGATCCACGTGTTTGACCTTTTACTGTGTGTGTGTGTGTGTGTGTGTGTGTGTGTGTGTGTGTGTGTGTGTGTGTGTGTGTGTGGTGTGTGTGTGGTGTGTGTGTGGTGTGTGTGTGTGGTGTGTGTGTGTGTGTGTGTGTGTGTGTGTGTGTGTGTGTGTGTGTGTTAGTAAAATAACTGGTAAACCAATGAAGAAACCTGGAGTGTACCTGGAACAGGTTCCAAGAGTTCTACTCGCCAAGCCCAGCCTGCAGCTAGGCTTGCCATGGGGGGACACTATTCTAACCGTACACCCTACACTATAGGGCCCGGCTCGTCTACCACATCCTACAGGGACCTGTCTGGTACGGTCTCACTTGGCCAATAACCGGGTTCTTTTCCTGTCAAACTTTATATGGGGGATTTAATGTCTTACTCGATCCCATCCCGAGTTCTTGGTTAGTTATTAAGAACTAGCAGTAATAATCAAAAGACAAACGGGGGTAAACAACACTAAACAGAACCATCTTGAGGTTATCTTGAGATGATTTCGGGGCTTTAGTGTCCCCGCGGCCCGGTCCTCGACCAGGCCTCGACCCCCAGGAAGCAGCCCGTGACAGCTGACTAACTCCCGGGTACCTATTTACTGCTAGGTAACAGGAGCATCAGGGTGAAAGAAACTCTATCCATTGTTTCTCGCCGGCGCCCGGGATCGAACCCGGGACCACAAGATCACGCGTGCAGTGTTCTGTCTGCTCAGCCGCCGGTTCCCCCTCACCATCACCAAGTGTACTTAACTTGTACACTTGTTGATGGCGCTACTGGTCTCCACGCTGGCAGGGGGGGGGTCTCCAGCAACACGCTGGCAGGGGGGGGGGGGGTCTCCAGCAACACGCTGGCAGGGGGGGCGGGTCTCCAGCAACACACTGGCAGGGGGGGTCTCCAGCAACACACTGGCAGGGGGAGGGTCTCCAGCAACACACTGGCAGGGGGGGGGGGTCTCCAGCAACACACTGGCAGGGGGGGCGGGTCTCCAGCAACACACTGGCAGGGGGGGTCTCCAGCAACACACTGGCAGGGGGAGGGTCTCCAGCAACACACTGGCAGGGGGGGGGGGTCTCCAGCAACACACTGGCAGGGGGGTGGGTCTCCAGCAACACACTGGCAGGGGGGTGGGTCTCCAGCAACACACTGGCAAAGGGGGTGGGTCTCCAGCAACACACTGGCAAAGGGGGTGGGTCTCCAGCAACACACTGGCAAAGGGGGTGGGTCTCCAGCAACACACTGGCAAAGGGGGTGGGTCTCCAGCAACACACTGGCAAAGGGGGTGGGTCTCCAGCAACACACTGGCAGGGGGGGTGGGTCTCCAGCAACACACTGGCAGGGGGGGGTGGGTCTCCAGCAACACACTGGCAGGGGGGGAGGGTCTGCAGCAACACGCTGGCAGGGGGGGAGGGTCTACAGCAACACGCTGGCAGGGGGGGCGGGTCTCCAGCAACACACTGGCAGGGGGGGGTCTGGGTCTCCAGCAACACACTGGCAGGGGGGGGAGGGTCTACAGCAACACGCTGGCAGGGGGGGCGGGTCTCCAGCAACACGCTGGCAGGTGGGGGAGGTCTCCAGCAACACGCTGGCAGGGGGGGGGGGGGTCTACAGCAACACATTAGCAGGGGCGCCGCCGTAGGTGGGGAGTGTATGTGAACGAGTTTCTGAACTGTGGAGTAAAAATCCTGCTCTAGGGATGACTGCGATAAAAAACATGATGTAAGTTTGCTGGGAACTGTTAGTTAGTTACACTGTACAGTAGACGAGCGGGAGGCGGGGAGGGAAGCCACCTCACGGAGCAGGAACAGTTGGAGATATTCGTCCAGTTGTTGATGCATGTAGCACTGTGCCCTAGCTGCCTCTGTCCCATTGGCTATCATCAAATTCATTAACAATTTCACTCTGTTATCGACCCACAGTAAACTTTGCTATCCAGAGTTGACAAGTTACCCACGTATTATACCGCTACCCACACAAAACACACCATCCCTTAGAAAGCCTAAACCAAAAAAAGCACGCTGTAGGCCTACGCACGAATTTCTCTCTCCCTTGTATTCCATGAGCCAGGACTGGCCTTAATATGCCCTGATAAAAAATGACTAAATATTTCAGAATAAATAATAAAAACCTGTGCAAATAAATATATGAAGGAATCAGTGTTTCAAAATCAACTTAATTAAATAAGAAAAACAGAATTGGTTTAAATAATTGTGTTAAAACTGATGTTTTGACTCCCTCAGCCCAGCCGGCGCCCAAGAGCTTGGTCTTGTTGTGAGTTGCTGACTTCTGCAGCGGTAAGTCCTGATCTTCGCCCGAGTCCTTGGTGGCACCCACCTCTGACCCCTACCCTTGACCTCTGCGCGTTACGTTGTGCATGCCGGTTTTCCCCCTCACACCCCTTTCCCCCCCTCACCCCCTTTCCCCCCCTCACCCCCTTTCCCCCCCTCACCCCCTTTCCCCCCCCCCCCCTCCCCCTTTCCCCCCCCCCCCCTCACCCCCTTTCCCCCCCCCTCACCCCCTTTCCCCCCCCCCCTCACCCCCTTTCCCCCCCCCCCCTCACCCCCCTTTCCCCCCCCCTCACCCCCTTTCCCCCCCCCCCCTCACCCCCCTTTCCCCCCCTCACCCCCCTTTTCCCCCCCTCACCCCCCTTTTCCCCCCCCTCACCCCCCCTTCCCCCCCTCACCCCCCTTTCCCCCCTTTCCCCCCTTTCCCCCCCTCACCCCCCTTTCCCCCCTCACCCCCCTTTCCCTCCCTCACCCCCCTTTCCCTCCCTCACCCCCCTTTCCCTCCCTCACCCCCCTTTCCCTCCCTTAACCCCCCTTTCCCCCCTCACCCCCTTTCCCCCCCTCACCCCCCTTCCCCCCCTCACCCCCCTTCCCCCCCTCACCCCCCTTACCCCCCTTTCCCCCCCTCACCCCCTTTCCCCCCCTCACCCCCTTTCCCCTCCTCACCCCTTTCCCCTCCTCACCCCTTTCCCCCCCCCTCACCCCCTTTCCCTCTCGCCCCTTCCCCTCTCGCCCCCTTTCCGCCTCACCCCTTTTCCTCTTGCGTGCCTCTCCATTTCGTCAGTGTTCCTCTTGTGCACAAGACGCTCGCGATTGCCCCAAACTTGACTCGCCTGACAATATGCATGACTCCCACATGGCCGTGAAGTAGAATTTGCCCTAAAATACTCCTATACCCTTGCCTCGGAGTATCTCCAACCTTAGTCTCGTAGTATCTCCAAATTCTTCGTTTTAACAAAATCTCAAAGTACCCCGACTTTGACCTCTTAGTCCTTACATCAGCCTTTTGAGATTCAAACCTGGGTGACCCTCCCCCCCCCCCGTCCGGAGCCACAGACACTCCGAGCACACACACCATAATCCATATTTTACTTTGAAAAACGTCCAGAGTGATCTGCGTGCGAATGACTCCGCGTGAATGCATTCTTATGCACACTTCTTGGACCAAGGTTTGGATTCTTTGGCTTGCCAGCTGGCCGGTTTCCCACGCGGGTAGTGTCCTAACCGCCATGTTAAGCTGCCGAAGATTGTGTTATTCTTCCGCAGTTACGTTTGGTCTGGAACCAAATTTGCTACTGTATTTTGGATGGTTTCATTACTGGATTTTTTTCCCTCTTGGTACCTGTTTTTTCCCCTTCTTGGTGCCTGGTTTTTCGCCTTCTTGGTGCCTGGTTTTTCGCCTTCTTGGTGCCTGGTTTTTCGCCTTCTTGGTGCCTGGTTTTTCGCCTTCTTGGTGCCTGTTTTTTCCCCTTCTTGGTGCCTGGTTTTCGCCTTCTTGGTGCCTGTTTTTTCCCCTTCTTGGTGCCTGTTTTTTCCCCTTCTTGGTGCCTGTTTTTTCCCCTTCTTGGTGCCTGTTTTTTCCCCTTCTTGGTGCCTGTTTTTTCCCCTTCTTGGTGCCTGTTTTTTTCCCCTTCTTGGTGCCTGTTTTTTTCCCCTTCTTGGTGCCTGTTTTTTTCCCCTTCTTGGTGCCTGTTTTTTTCCCCTTCTTGGTGCCTGTTTTTTTCCCCTTCTTGGTGCCTGTTTTTTTCCCATTCTTGGTGCCTGTTTTTTTCCCCTTCTTGGTGCCTGTTTTTTTCCCCTTCTTGGTGCCTGTTTTTTTCCCCTTCTTGGTGCCTGTTTTTTCCCCTTCTTGGTGCCTGTTTTTTTCCCCTTCTTGGTGCCTGTTTTTTTCGCCTTCTTGGTGCCTGTGATTTTCCTTTCTAGCGCTAGTTTCTTACCTCACATCAATTTCTTCCTAGCTGGGAAATAAATCGGTCGGAAATAAAGTACGACCGAATGAACTCCATTCTCGTGTAATGGAAGTCAAACACAGCCGGGGTTAAACCTGCTTGTTGGAGACGAGTCCAAAGTCAATAGAGGAAGTGGGGAGTTACCAGCACAATTAGTACCGTGTTGACTGCTGGAGCGGAAAGGGGGGGGGGATTGTGTGAGGGGAAGAGTTAGAGGGGGAGGGTGTTTGGGGGGGGGGGGGCGGCGAGAGATGCAATCCATCCTCCGAAGGTTTCCCAACGTCAAAAAGCTGTCGTACTAAAAGGTCCTCTCCTAACCTACCAGAGGATCCAAAACAGAACGAGTGTGTGTGTCAATTTCATGAGCCTCTACCATTTTCTTGTATGACAATTGTTGGCCTTAGGTAGAGTACAAACGTCTCAATGGGACGGTCTGTTAGGAGGACGGGTTGAGGTGTGAGGGGGGAGGGGGGGGGGGTGTTGTAAAAGTGGTACTTGCCTATCAGTGTCTACGGGGAAGTGAGATCTAGCTGTTTATGCCCCGCGGAACTAGCCTTGTCCCTGCTGTGTTTCAGCTTAACTACTCTTGGCTTTCAAATTCTTTGTCTATAATTGCCTGAAAGTTCCTCTTCTTTAAGTGCTTGTATTTCTTTTCTCCCTCGTCGTCTCCTCTTCCACCTTATCTTGCATAATTTCATTACCTCTCCCTAGTTCACCTAAGCTGACCTAAAGTTCTACTATGGTAATGGCCTTCATTCCCCCTCTTCCTCATTCATGCTTTCCTCTAATGCCACAAATCTCTTCCATATGGCTGGGTTTATATCTTTAGGCCGCTTCTTATCCATCTTAGCCTTCCCTCCTAGCTGTCCCTAGGATGCTTCAGCATCCCAGCAGATACACAAGCCGGCCGAGTACAGCTTGCGTTTTGCAGGTTATTCATGCCCGTTCCACCACCACCTGGCTGGCTTAGTCGTCTTAGCCATAATGGCTTGGCACTTTCCCTTGATAATTCCTTCCTTCCTTCTTCTTGAGAGTAGGTGCAGTTTGAATGAAGGGTTTACCCTCTCGATGACTGCACCAGGACAGATGTTAGGAGACGCATTGATGTTGAGGAGGATAAGAATGTCAAAAGTGCTTGTTGCGTCATGCCGTAGTTAGAGGAGCGGCGATTATAACAGAGGTGGATGGTAGAGGGAGACTTGTCGCACCTTAGGGCGGGACGTAGAGTTCATGGCGTTGTCATGTCTCGTCCATACAGCTCGATGAACTACAGGGGTAATAAAAATAATCCCTCTCTTAAATACGTTCAACCAGGGTGTCTCATAAGGCCATACCATACAAAAATTATTTCGCCAGGTTATAAAAACATGCATGTAAAAATAGATATATAATATATATTCCTTAAGTATATCATTCATAACTCATAATTAATTAGATGGCACAATAAGCTACTGTAATATAATTAGAAAGCTCTCCAGATAATTATATCTATCACGACAAAATACAGAAAAACCAACAAACACTTATCAGACAAGTTGACTCCATGACAGCTTCCACCTAACTAACTCTCCTAGAGTCAGCCACTAACTTCCCCCTCCACAAACATAAGTGGAAAATTTATTTAAATTTAATTTAATTAAATGAGCAACGAAATTTTGCTATACAAACAGATGAAATAAAATATGAATTGTAATATTCAAATGATTAGAATACAAATGCAATACATGTATATATAAAGCAAATATATATATGGTAAATAATAGAGGAAGCAACTGGTAACTACCTTATTACAACATTTCCATATTAATCTATCAGGAAGTTGACCAGGCCAGAACACGTCTAATACTTGTGACTATATCCCGCACCATGCTCCCCTATGTTGTCAACTATAGGATAATTTCCAAAGTACATTATATATATATATATATATATATATATATATATATATATATATATATATATATATATATATATATAATATATAAATTCATTACAGAAATAAAATATAATAAATTTTATATTGAGTGAATTAATATCCAGTAAATAGGGATACTTAACAGGCGTCAGGAGATCCATGGCGTAACGTTGTGCGTAAGATGTCTACTAATTTTTATCCGGGAACTTGTATATCGGAAAGCGTAAGCAGTACGCTTCCCAAATCATCAACATGTCAAAGGACACCCGGCCACCATGCGGCGCCCTCGGCTGAGACATCTTATCTGGCACCCGATAAACAAACTCCTTCGCCTGTGCCACCAAGATAGTGGAAGAGCATCACGGGATCGGAAGCACCCGGGCATCCCGATAAGGGCCCTTACACCTGACCCTCATGGGACATGACCCCGGCAGCCGGGACAAGGCTTCCACCAGCCTGGGGTAACGAAGGAGAGGGGAACTGCAGGGGATGCAGGCGCGGCATCGACCCCACCACTGGGCACACGAGCCGAGGCCCCCCTGGCGCACATCTTACCTCAACACCAGGACGAGATCCCGATCAACAGGGGCAACCCCCCACCGCGGGGATCCAACAGGAGGAGGGGGGGGTGGGGCCCACAGGTAGCAACTCGGAGCCCCTCGTAGCCCTTGTCATCTACAGCGGGGGATGCCAGGGCACCATACTCTCCTACCTCCTCCCAAGGCACACCACGAAGGGGGGACACACTCCGAGCCCGCTGCGAACGCTTCGAGGCTACACCACTCCCACCAGGCACGGCCACCATCTTTACATCCACACAGGCCACACCCCCACACCGTCCGAAGAGTCCACAGAGGCCACATCGCCCGCACTGTCCACATCATCCAGGGAAACAACCTCAGAACACCGGTGTGCACGCTTCTGCAAAGGGATGAAAGCATCAGCACTACAGTCGCTGACACACACACAGGCACGGCAGGCGCCTCCCCCTGCCGAAGCCCCCCCTCCAACACAGCAGAACCCACGTCCCCGGGTGCCGAGCCACATACAGCAACCTAAAGATTCTGAATGAGCAGTAGACCTGCTCGGTTTATGCACATTACATTACAGTACTATAACTCTCTGGAGATTCAACTAAGCACATGATAACTTATTAAAGGATGAATATGAGATGAGATGCGATAAGGATTGAATGTGGTCAATTATTACTGTCGAATAGATCTGGGTCTGCAGTGGGGTCAGTGACCTTTGTCGCTGTGACGTGAACTGATTTAGGCTGCTGGTCACTGACTTATCCTCCGAGACTCGTAGAAACTTTCCCGGATAATATTAACTGCACCAGACTCGATCTTTTCTGATTAGTATTGTTGTCAATAGAATAGACTATTCAATAGACTATACAATAGACTGGAATAGGCTTCCTCAGGTTTAAGACTACCTGTGAGTAAGTAGCCATCTGCCGACCTCAACAAGTTCATTCCCTGTTGTCTTGTAGCTCCAGTAATGAACTGATAATAATAGTCTGCCCCCTACTAATAGACTTGCATCGGTTAGGCGGTCAGACGTTATCGTGGTGTCAGCCAATTTGATTCTATTTTTCTGTAAAAATCTAGCTGTGTTCCCCAGAACTTTTAACATTTAGGTCAAATGAAATGTGATCAACTACTATGGCCTGTACAGGTCGGACATAACCGCCTAGGCGTGCTAGTGGTTGTACTACTACATATTCTTGAGGTCCAGTATCTGTTAGGAATCCTGCTATGTTCAATGTCACCTTACACAAGGGTTTAAGTTTCAGCTGGTTAGCTGCTTATTGAGTGATGAACGTTCTGTGATTCCTGATTGAATAGAGCTCGTACACTGATTCTAGAATTCTTGTTACTTAAGTCTAGTTGGTAATGTGACATTATTATAAGACTTGGTATTAAGCACCTTAACCTCTTGTCGTACCTTACAGCACTGCACAGTGGTGGAAGTATCCTGTTCCACCTGGAGTTTTGGCGATTTGGGCCTATCAACTCCACACAATGTGGAATGATGTTGATCCTGATGGCACCTGTTACATATACGTAATGGGCAACAATTATTTTCTCGTAATACAGTCAATTAATTTAGACGATATTAAGTGAACGAGAAAAGATTTGAGTGAAGGTACGGTTTATTATTCTATTTACTGGTACAACTAGTCTGTGGGGCGAGTCGAGGTTGTGCGTCTGGTGAAGGGATGGGGTGTGTGTGAGATGAGGAGTGGGGGACGGGTTGTGGGAGAGGTGGCGGTGGTTGTGGTGAGTGGGGGGGGGCGGTAGGTGTGGTGAGACGGGGTTGTTGGGAGTGATGAGAGGTGTTGTGTAGGAGAGGAGGAGGATTGTGCACATGGTGAGCAAGAGCTCGTAGTCTCGCTACGAGAATCCAATCTCTCGTGTTTTATCATTAGAGAAAGTCCGTGGTTTGGTTGTTTGGGAAGCGTGTGTCGATCATTGACTCCAGCTGGTTCCTCTCTCTTGTTTGGGAAGTACTCGCCTAGTTGTGCTTGCAGGGGTTGAGCTTTGTCTCTTTGGTCCCGCCTCTCAACCGTCAATCAACTGGTGTACAGATTCCTGAGCCTACTGGGCTCTATCATACCTATATTTGAAACTGTGTATGGTGTCAGCCTCCACCACATCACTTCCTAGTGCATTCCATTCCAACTACTAACACTGAAAAAATTCTTTCTGTGGCTCGTCTAGGTACTAAGTTTCCACCTGTGTCCCCTGGTTCGTGTTCCACCTGTGCTGAAGAGTTTCTTTGTCCACCCTGTCAATTCCCCTGAGAATTTTGTAGGTGGTTATCTACAAAACCATCTATCTTGTAGGTGGTTTTTGTAGGCGTGTCGATCAGTGACACACTTCCTACTACTTCCCTCGGGTTTTTTTCACTCTGTACTACAATTTCTCTTATTGAATAACATTTTATCCTTCATTTGTTAATCATCTGTTTTGTGCATGTTTCAGAAATCCTGTGATTGTATAGGTACAGGCAGCTTGATTTAGAATATTGCATGCATGGATGCAATTCCATTAAAACTTGTTGATTTAGGCTCTCGTGAGCGAGCTTTCATTGCCCTATTGTCTTGATGCGATGTAATGACGTACGCGTGTGTGTGTGTGTGTGTGTGTATGTGTGTGTTGACGTGACCGGTGTGTGTGTGTACTCACCTATTTGTGCTTGCGGGGGTTGAGCTTCGGCTCTTTGGTCCCGCCTCTCAACTGTCAAACAACTGGTGTACAGGTTCCTGAGCCTACTGGGCTCTATCATATCTACATTTGAAACTGTGTATGGAGTCAGCCTCCACCACATCACAGCCTAATGCATTCCATCTGTTAACTACTCTGACACTGAAAAAGTTCCTTCTAACGTCCCTGTGGCTCATGTGGGTACTCGGTTTCCACCAGTGTCCCCTTGTTCGCGTGTCCCCTTGTCCCCTTGTGCGCGTGTGCGTGCGTGCGTGTGCGCGTGCGCGTGTGTGCGTGCGTGTGCGTGTGTGTGCGCGTGCGTGTGTGCGCGCGTGCGTGCGTGTGTGCGTGCGTGTGTGTGTGTATGTAAGTGTGTTGACGTGACAGGTGTGTAACGAGAACTCTTACAGGTATCGTGGCCAAATTTGACTCTTAAGTCGGTAAGTTACGATAAAGTTCAGCCTGTAGTTGAGACGTCTCACCACACATCTTCCAAGACATCTTTATCAACATTCTCAACTTCCTGTATACCCCAGAGACAGACAGACTACGTAATTATTCAAATAACTTATTTTAGACTTGATTAGTATTTAGAAAAGTGACTTCAAGTAGTTTTTGATTTGTCATAATCTTTTTTTTTCAAAAAAGAAACCTATATATCATATATATATATATATATATATATATATATATATATATATATATATATATATATAATATATATATATATATATATATATATATATATAATGGTGATAGGATGTGTCCTGGTATTCCTTAGTGACTTAGAGGGATTATAGCGGCTTATATCATGAGTGTATTGGTGTAAATTACAGCTGTTATGTTCAGCTTGGGGAGTAGTGCTTACTAGAATGTGTGCGGGGATGCGTGCACGTGGTGGAGGACGTGCGTGCACGTGGTGGAGGGCGTGCGTGACCTAGGAAGAGGCCTGCCTCAATAACCCCCCCTCGTACACAACCGGGATACCAGGACCCATAACACAGCTCGCCCCCACAACCCTCTGACCTGACGTATGTGTGTGCCCCACAGGGCGGCTCCGTGGGGCAGATGGGCGCCGGCGCCACCTTCGGGGAGTCGGTGCTGAGCGACGGCCCCAGGAGGAACACCATCATCACCAGCGACAACTGCGAGCTCCTCAGGGTCGAGCAGAGGGACTTCAGGCACATATGGCAGGTAAGTGCACCGCTTGGCGTCTCTGCTGGTGGCGGGAAGAGGATCTGCAGAAGCTCTAGGTGGAAGATCCACTCGCGCATCGAGAGTGGATTCGGAATCCCTTGTTTGCCTGTCTCCTCGAGTGGAGGGTTTCAGGGGGTCAACGAGGAAGGTTTTTTTTTTTTTTTTTTTTAGGGCTTTTATGTTTTGCATTTGCAGGCTTTCCGGTTTCCCTTTACGTTTTCTCTCTTTAATGTGTGAAATTTTCCTGGTGATGTGAGAGTACTGCGGAGTCTCTATTGGCACTGTCTTGCATGTAGGATCTTTGGATCAATTTGAGGTTCTATACATGGACATGGGAGGTGGTTCTATACATGGACATGGGGGGAGGTTGTTCTATACATGGACATGGGGGGAGGTGGTTCTATACATGGACATGGGAGGTGGTGGTTCTATACATGGACATGGGAGGTGGTGGTTCTATACATGGACATGGGAGGTGGTGGTTCTATACACACAGACATGGGAGGTAGTCCAATATTCACTATTCTCCTCTAGCTAGGACCTGTGAACACACGTGGAAGTCACCGCAGTGACATCAGTGCCAGACAAGGCACCATGGGTGCTCATGACAACAATAAACACTATACTTGTGTTGCCAATGAAAGCACTGCAATTATCGGTGAAAGCACTGCAATTATCGGTGAAAGCACTGCAATTATCGGAATAACATCGCATCATGGTTCGTATGTGCTGGCATGGTGTTACTCATTATGGATGAGGTGGGACCCGGGAGCTGAAGCTCCGAAAGAAGAAGTAGACACAGAACGTTCTCTCTCTCTCTCTCTCTCTCTCTCGTATACTTCTCATCTCTATCTCTTCCTTTTCCTTAGACAATTCCCATCGTCTTTGATTAATGCTCTGTGTTCTTGTGTCGGTTTCTGTGAGCCTTGATGTATCACTTTCTTGCACAATTCATTTCTTCTGCTCCTTCTCTTCCTCTTCCTCCTACGTGAGATATTTTTCACCTCGTACTCGTCATTCATCTCCTGCTTCCTATTCATTCTCCCTAACCTGCTCCTCTGCTTTCTAACTCGCCCAGTAATGGGAACTTATTGATTTTCGGATCAAAAGCCACATTCAATTAAGGCTTTCATTACCATTCCAACTGCAGCTCTGGCGGGTATCACCACCACCGCTGCCATAGGTGGGCGGACTCCATCATTCCCGGGTGATGGAAAGGTGGGGGGGGGCGGACTCCATCATCCCCGGTGATGGAAGGGTGGATGGGGCGGACTCCATACAGATGCTGCAGGGTGGGAGATAACACCTCCATGGTCGTGAGCAGCATCCTCTTAGGATGCAGCATCATCCCCCTCCCCCTCACTTGCTGTTACATTCATCCTATTTCTCGCCCCTATTCCCTCCCTACTTCCCCCTCTGTCCCTTACACCACCACCTCCCGCCTCCTGCGCCACGGTTGCACCTGTCGGCCCGTACCTGTCTGTACAAGACGACGCGCTTAGTTGGGTTGCAGACATTATTGCATTCTTCCCTACCTGAGCAGCGCAGACACGGAATGCCTCGCCAGCGGCGTTCCGCGTTCCTTTCCACCTCACGGAACATGAAAGAAGACGCGAGAGATATCAAATAATACACATGTGGAAAATACCGGAGGGACAGGTCTCAAATGTACACAGTAAAATAACAACGTACTGGAGTGTGCGATATGGGATAAAAATGCAGAATAAAACCAGAGAAGAGCAGAGGTGCCATAGGCACAATCGGAGAACACTGTATGAACGTCAGAGGTCCGCGGTTGTTCAACATCCTCCCAACGTTTACAAGAAATATTGCCGGAACAACCGTGGACATCTTCAAGATAAAACTAGATTGTTTCCTCCAAGGAGTGCTGGACCAACCGGGCTGTGGTGGGTATGTGGGCCTGCGGGCCGCTCCAAGCAACAGCCTGGTGGACCAAACTCTCAGAGGCCGGGCTTGGGGAATAGAAGAACTCCCAGAACCCCATCAAGCAGGCGCCCCCCCCCCCCTCCACACACACACACACACACACACACACACACACACACACACACACACACACACACACACACACACACACACTCCACACACACACACACACAAAAACTGCAAAAGAAACCATTTTATATATTTATATAAATTAACTCGAGGGGCCGGCCTTTCCCGTGGTCTCGCGGGGACAGGAAGCTGGAGGATTGTCAAAAGTCCCCCGCTCACATTTTTCCTGATAAATTTTTCAAGCGGAATTTTTAACTGGTCCTTCTGCCCGGAGTGGCGGGGGAGGGCCCCCGGAGTGGCGGGGAGGCCCTGGGGCCAGATTCACGAAGCAGGTACGCGAGCACTTACGAAAGTGTACATCTTTCCTCAATCTTTGACGGCTTTTGATTACATTAATTAAACAGTTTACAAGCATCTAAACTTGCCAATCAACTGTTGTTATTGTTATAAACAGCCTCCTGGTGCTTTAGAGCTCCTTAACTGTTTAATAATTGTAAACAAAGCCTCCAAAGATTGAGAAAAAGATGTACACGTTCGTAAGTGCTTGCGTAACTGCTTCGTGAATCTGGCCCCTGGTGCCTTCCTCGTCAACATAGATGTACGGTACACCAGGGTGTGGGTAACCAGCATGTGCTTTATTGTTAATGGAGGTGTGGAGAGGTGCACACTACCCTGTCTCCGGAGCTGTAGCTTAGGGAGAGGCTCTGGCGGCTCGTCCTCAACCCTCCCAAGTGCGAAATTATTTCAGGTAATGGTAGAGTCATTAATGTAGTAGGATCGACAGTCGCACAATCCTCATCCGTCACTCCCACTGGCGTATCATTTTTCGGAACGACGTTGGAATACGAGATCGTAAGACTTAAAAGTTCTCGCCTTGACCTTGGATCCTTGGCCTTGATGCCCCTGTCCTCGCACAAGATCGCTTGATTGGCACACTAATATGGCCGAGTGGTTAAAGTATTGGTCACGACAAGGGGCATGGGGGGGGCTCTGGCTGTTTGGGTTTGAATCCTTCAGGGGTCAAGAGTTTTCTGGTGCATGTTAGCTTGGGATCCTTCAAGCTTGACGCACATGCGCATATATATATATATATATATATATATATATATATATATATATATATATATATATATATATATATATAATATATATATATAATATATATATATAATATATATGTGTGTTAAACAAACTTGCTTAATTAACAAGTTTGTTGTAAATTATTACAATAATAACTTTACCCAGTAACTTAGCATATAAATGTCGTGGTATTACAGGGTCTGTCCCCGAGTGTGGAGGGGCGGGGTGAACATTTGTCTTTACCCCCTTGCATTATGATGGGGAGGGGGGGGCATTATCCCCAGCTCCCTCCCTGTCTGTCTGTCTGTGCGTCTCTGTCTCACTGTTGTGTGTCTTGGTGTACATGGAACACTCAGCAATCACGGCGTCATATACTAATGATAATAAAACTGTAATATATTGAATGTTCAAATACATTTGAAGCTACATATATCAAGCATAAACTGACCTGTTTTGTGGATGAGGAAAGGTGGATGGGAAGGAGATGAAGCAGAAGTGAGAGGGAGGGAGGGAGGGAGCAGGGTCGCCCTCCGAAAATACAACAATTCCTAACATAGCGTCAAACTAATTAGTACAGGGACAGTTCTAATTGGCGTTAATAAACATCTGGACGACGGCGGAAATGAGAGGGGGAGTGACTGAGGGGGAGTGACTGAGGGGGAGTGACTGAGGGGGAGTGACTGAGGGGGAGTGACTGAGGGGGAGTGACTGAGGGGGAGTGACTGAGGGGGAGTGACTGAGGGGGAGTGACTGAGGGGGAGTGACTGAGGGGGAGTGACTGAGGGGGAGTGACTGAGGGGGAGTGACTGAGGGGGAGTGACTGAGGGGGAGTGACTGAGGGGGAGGGACTGAGGGGGAGGGACTGAGGGGGAGGGACTGAGGGGGAGGGACTGAGGGGGAGGGACTGAGGGGAGGGACTGAGGGGGAGGGACTGAGGGGGAGGGACTGAGGGGAGTCGGGTGAGGGAGGGAGTGGGATGGAACACCCCACCCACTCCCTCCTGGGATGGATGGATGGTTCTACATGCATTAGCTGTAGAACTAGACCTCGTGTTGGAAAATGAGTAATATTGTTCGGCTGGTATACTAGTTAATTAAAAAAAATGATTATAGTCCGCCTACAGTCTGTAGCTACAGTCTTTGTGCATAATGAAGCTTAAATACTCCTACTTCGTTATTGTTTAAATACAGAATTTGTTTCCAGCGTTATACGTAACCTGTTGCGCTAGGGGGTCGCGGCGCACCAGTTCAATCCCCTCGCATTGTCTCCAATATTATATGTGTACAATTAATCCTACACGCAACTCTGCAGGAGAGGAGACTTGAGTCAAGCGACAGGGTTCACTTAGGAGAAATCCAGCTTGATTAGTCAATTGGCGTGTCTTTAATTACGGGAGATTTGTGAAATTAACCAAGCTGGGCCCCGAGGGAATACCCTGCACGCCAGAGTCAAGAGCAATTATGATGTGTGTTGCGTGAGAGGTTACTACTGTAAGTGGCTGGTTGTGGACTATTTTCGCGCGCTCTGTAATCTGCCGTGTGTGTGTGTGTGTGTGTGTGTGTGTGTGTGTGTGTGTGTGTGTGTGTGTGTGTGTGTGTGTGTGTGTGTGCGCGTGCGCGTGCGCGCGTGCGTGTGTGCGCGTGCGCGTGTGCGCGCGTGTGCGGCCCTCTGGTGAACGGTGGGGTCCTTGTTAATGTTCTCCCCTTCCTTCGTTCTTTCCTTCCGTCCTTCTAAATCCTTTCTTCCTTCCCCCCCCCCCCCTCCTCCCCCCCCCCCTCCTCCCCCCCCCCCCTCCTCCTCCCCCCCCCCCTCCTCCTCCCCCCCCTCTCCTCATTCTGCCGGCTCCTCGTGACCTCACTCCCGCTGACCCTGTAGAAGCACACTTGTGTACAATGTGGTGT